CGCAGCACCCAGGCGTACAGCTCCCGCACTGCACCCACCCGCACTGCTGACTCGTTGAGGCCAGGGCAGGCTGCAAGCCCGGGAACGGGCAGGACAGAGACGGAGGGAGGACATCAGGGATGAATTGTGGAGGCACCACACTACTGCCCACCCCAGGGAGGAGCACCTGAGCTGTGGGGATGCCGGGGAGCAGGGACAGAGGGTCCCTGTGGAGGGTGGTATGCCCGAGGGCTGTCCCACTGACATGGAACAACCAAACCTGGGACTGGGGTGCAAAGCCAAGGCCAGGTTTGCCACCGGCCCCACGGTGGCAAGCGGCATCCTGCAGTGCCTGGGGGCTGCAGGGCACTTACCTCTGCCTGCACCTGCCTCCCCTTCCTCCACCCCCGGCAGCTCCGTGGGCACCAGCTCACGTTTCTCCCTCAGTGCAGACCCTGCCACCGAGAGAGGTGTGAAAACCCTGGTGGGGACACAGCCGGTGGGCACTTCGCGGGCACGGAGCTGGCTGGTGGATGGACCTCCCACTGCCCTGTTGGCCTCAGCTACCCCCCAGCTCCCAGGGCTCACAGCTCAGTGTGGAGGTCTCCACCAGCTCTCCAGGTGCCCATTGTAGCTCCATGGCTTCAAGAGGGGTGTTGAAGTCCAGCTCTGCCCGCAGCTGGGAGAGGAAGGCTTGTCCCTGTCCCACCAGCTCCTCCACCACCTTCTCGTCCTGCCAAAGGGAAGGGGGGACCAGGTGGACAGTGGGGCATCCATGGGGAACCCATGGGCGTGGCCAGGTGCACCATGGCAGAGCACAGGGCATGGCTGGGCTGGTATCGGACGGGGCATTGAGGACACGTGACGTCTTTATGGCTGTGTTGGGTCAGATCCTAAGCTGCGGGGTCAGACCCATGGTTGGCTTTGCACTGGTTGGACTGGAAGCACTGATTTCAGCTGGGGAGGGTGAGATGCCCCCTCTGTGGTGGCCAAGTGGGAGATGCCACCTCCATGACTGCACAGGGTACAATGGGCCTGAGGGATGTCAGGAAAGGATGTGGGGGAACTGCTGGGCTTTGGTCCCGGGTGACACTGACACCAGAGGGGTAAGGGCTCCCTCCAGACCGACCGTCCCCAAATACCTGCAAGAAAAGCCACGTCTCCCCAGGGAGCTGCCCCCCATCCGGGGTGGGTGCCAGTGGACTGCCCCCTGCCATGGCCCTCAGCGCCTCCACCCAGTCCTGCAGCCGGGGTCCCACGTCCCCAAAGAGCCCTGCAAAGGGGGGCGGCTCCCTGGCCCCTGACCTGGAAACACAGCGGGGTGACCTCAGGCAGGTGCCCGCTTGCACCTGTCCCCTGGGCAGTGCCACTCACCACCCTGTGCACCCCCAGCAGGATCTGAGTGGCCCTAGGCACCCTGGGAGGCCGTGCCCACCTCCCTCCACGTGTGCCCTGGTTGCAGGAAGAGCAGGACCTCAATGCTTTAGGATGTCCCCAAAAAGCCACATCAGTGCCCACAGGTATCTTGCCCACCTTCCCAAACCCTTTAGGCCCCCTTGTCCCGTGGACCACCATGCCTCACCTGGTGGGGGGTCTCCGGGGTTCCTCTGCTATGGGACTGGGCTGATCCCCTGCCACAGCTGAGCCTACGTGGACAAGAAGGGGACAGGAGGGACAACAAGTAGGGGAGCTCTGTGTGGGTGTCAGGGCAGGCTGCTGGTGCCCTGGCCGCTGGCATAGGTGGGACTGATAGGACCACAAGCAGGCACGGGGTGACCCAGCCCGGGAGGGTACCTGGGGCATCCCTGCGCACGCGCGGGGGGAAGAGGTGCCCATAGATCTTGCCCAGGAGCTGGGGCAGGGTGTGGGTGAGGAAGGAGAAGTCAAACTGGTTTCTGATGAAGTCCCCAGCCCGGCGCAGGAGATCCACCAGGGTCTGGGCGTAGGAGTGCAGCTCTGTGGGCACAGAGGGAGACCCATGGCCCCAGCACCACACTGGGCCCGTGCCACCAGAAATGAGGTCCCTCCCCACACCCTTGCCCCAGCATG